CAGTTTATTTTTACTTATTTATCTTTTGGGTTGCTTTAACTGATTTTTTTTCATAATTGTTGGATATTAAATGAATTGTACCTCTGAAAATATAGCAAAATGTGAGGAGAAATATATTGAAATAAACTTCACAAGGTATTTTGCACCTGGTATTGTAGTACTTATCTCCCCTTTTTCCCTCAGATCTCATTCACTCATTGGTGGTTCTATCTTCCAAATATATTCAAGATCCAGCCACTCCATCTGTCCATCTCCTCACTGCTACCCCTTGATGAAATCATCACCATTTTTCCCAGGAGATTACTGTACTCCACTGGGTCTTCTCTGCTTCTGTGAAGCCCAGGGTCTCTTCCACACACCCTGAGTAGTTCTAAAAGAGGAATTGCTTGTACCAGCCCCTTGCTCACATGTTCCAGAGGTTGCCCAAATAACTTAGAGCATCAGAGTTCTTAGCTAGCCTCAGGCACCACATGGCCTGGCCATGACCATCCTTGGCTTTGCCTCCTACCTGTGTCCTCCTGGTTCCCCTGCACTTGACACTCTGGGCTCTGTGCACTGCTGCACACTCAGGAGACCTTGACCTCGTCTCCTTTGCTCAGAGGAAGCCACCTCTCAGCATTCATCTGATTGACTCCTTCAGTATTTTCCAAGACTTTTGCTCAGATCTTCACTCTCAAAGGGACACAGCCTGGTGATCCTACCAGTCTACCCCTGGCACTTCAGCCTTTTTAGTCACCCCACCCTACTATCACTGTGCTAAGCAAGGTGTTTGCTGATTGCATCCATTGCTCATTCAGTGAGAGGTCTGCTCCATGCAGAATGTGGGCCATTCTCTGCTTGATCTACTGATGAGGCCCAAGTATAGAGAAGAAGGGATCATAGTGCTTGTTGAGTAAGCATGGATCACGTTATCCAACAGTACTTTCTCAAAAATTAAACTTAGTAGATTAGTACATAGGAGAGAATTTTTTAATGACATCTACAGCTCCTAAATCACTTCATGAAATTACAACTCCTAAATTGTTTTTTTAAAAGATTATCGGGTTTGAAAAAAATTATCAGGTTTGAAATGTGAATGAACTTGGTTCGTGTGTGTGTGTGTGTGTGTGTGTGTGTGTGTGTGTGTGTTTTCTGGATTTCAAAGCATCTAGATTTCTACAAATTATTTTCCAAAAGGCAACTTACAGACTCCCATCTATTTGGAATCATTTTAATAAGTCTCTCAAAATTCCTCATTCTTAATTCCGTTAAAAATTTATGGATGTCCTTTCCACTATTAAGGCTGTGAAGCTTTCAGGATGCATGCACATGAAACAAAACCTCTTCTTTACTTGGGAAGATACTAAAGTGTTCTTTCTTCCTTGTGGAACAAGGTTCAGCCCAGAAGAAGTGTAAATTGGTGTGGTGTTAAAGTTTCACTGTTTACCTTGATAGTAATGAAAATGAATGGACAATGAGTTAATTGTTTCAAGACAATATATTTTAGATACTTTTCCATCATAATTATTATTTTTTAAATTTTTTATTTATTTTAAAGAGAAAAAAGATAAAGTAGCAATGAAACCTTTTCAAGAACAGGTTAGTAGGATATTTACAATAATTAATATATTGTTGGGAGGGCTAGGGAGATGGCTCAGTAGAAAAAGCACTTGCCTGGCAAGCACAAGGGCATGAGTTCAATCCCCAGTTCTGCCAAAAAAAAAAAGGTAAACAAGTATTGAGAACTATAAAAAAAAAAAAAATTTCTTGTTGCATAGGTCCTGCTTTACCTTGGTCTTAACCATCCAATAGAAAAGTATGAAGACGAAATATAGGAAGTAAAGCCATGCTGTTATGTTGAGCTATGGGGGACTCAGGTCAATAATTTCTGACATTGCCAGTTAA